CCATTTCCTTTTTCAACTTCTTCATGCTCCTCTCCATCTTCTCCATAGTTCTCTTCCTCCGCAGCTGCAATTAAAACATTAATTATAAAATTTTCAGTTTCCCTTTCATTCTCCCATCCAGCAGCCTCAACAAAATTGTAATGGCTAAACCTGACATAGACATGGCTGAAACTTTCATGTTCGAACCTTAGACCATTCGATCAAATTTACCCAAAAAAATTATAAGTTTATTTACCTGTTGTTCGGCTCGTGAACATCTGGAGAAACGTTTAGGAATGAGGAAAGTAGAACTCCTCTTGCCTCTACTTTTCCATTGGTGCTACAAACTCCATTTCCATACATCTTGAGGAAAGCCATTATATACCTGTCTAATTAAAATGGCCTTGTTTCTGAGCTCCTCCTTTTACTTAGTAATTACAGCGTGAGCCGTAAGGCTCCCCACGGATTTCCTCCATATATATAGAAGTAGAACAGAATCTTGTATTACACAAACCCTTGAGTGGGGGCTCAACCCGATTGTGGGCAGTCGTCCCACGTGGACTTTACGTGCGTGAATTATAAGGCATATATGAAATTTTAAATAATTTTAAATAAATTAATTTTAAAATTATGTTTTATTTCGTCACTGTACTCATGTTTTAAAAAAAAAATTTGTATTACAGTACACCTAACATCAGGACCTTAGCAAAAGGGGAGAGGGCCCATTAGGCCATTATCAGGAATCCTTTCCTTTTTAATTGTTGTGATATTGCCTGTATGACGCTACAGCACGAACTGTAACACTTTTTTCTACATAGAAAATAGAACGGGAACGAGTTGGTCTATCTCCCCTGAGTAACTTTGTCCGCTGGACCACGGGCTCTCCCAGCGGCGGAGTTAGGGGGCAGCCCTTCTCTGAATAAAAAATTAAAATATGTCACTTTTTTATCTTTAAATAATTATTTTTTGGAATTAAAATTTTGAGATAATATTTATAGACAACAATATATCAATCCCCCGTCAGTTAATAAAAATTGAAGTTATATGTTCCAACGGCACCGTTTCATTTAAAATTAATACCCAGCCTCTACCGTTTTCCCCCTTTTTGCCTCTGCAATTCTCCATCTCCACGCTTTCTGTGATTCATCATCTCTACGCCTCCTCCTACAATTCAATCAATTTGTTCGACACAATCTACAGCAAGCCCATAATAGATCAACAATGATGAGCTTGAAGCCAGCAAAGTAAAGGTCCAGTTTTGGGCTCCACCCCACTAATGGCTTGCAGAGAGAGAAGTTTCATAACACAGAGGGTCGAAGAA